AGATTAATTCACGTAAGACGACCTAAATTTGGCGCCACTTCTGCTTGTTTATTGATTTTTTGACATAAAAATAAGCATACTGTACATCAAAACTGTCACAAAATATTGTGACATTAAATTTCCTCCAAATCATTTCTTTCTCACAGAAAAGCAAGCCGTCAGAAAACATTACGCTCTCACCCTCCCGACATCTGCTTGGACTTGCAGATCATATGTCAACAATCGCGGCACGTTTTTATGCACGCCTAAAGGCCGTCTTGACCTACATAATTGCTCGTTGTTGAAAAGAGGTTACAGTAGGACACTGGTGGGTCATCACACACCCGTTAACAATTATCGGCGCTCACATACGGGTCGTTAGCCGCAGGTGAGAGTACACACCTACAATAACAGCCATATATTATTAGATCACCCAAACAAAGGATAGAGTTTTAGCAGCCATTTGGGAAAAGTTGCTCCAAATTTGACGACAGATCGGCACGAAGAGAGAGACGTAATTAAAAGAAAAACAGAAAAATCGTCACAACACAAGGGACGCCCGTACACCAATGCAAACTTCAACCTTTCCACTGACTGGCAAACATACGCAGGGATGTTTGAATCATGTTTCACTCTAGGGACTTCGCCTTGTCAACAAATGAATGTGATGTGGCAAGTTGAAACTATATGTTTGTACACACTTCTCAATCACACCAAAAAAGGGTTGAACAAAAGGACGCCACGTGCTATCCGCCATGGCCATTGGGGATTTGGAATTTTTTTGTGAATTCAATCTCGGGCTTAAGTTTATTCATTATTTCAAATATGTAAAAAAAAGGCGACACAGTATCTAACCGACTGGTTTGAAGACACTTCATACACGCAGGCACCTGCAATACAACACCTGTTCCTGTCAGCAAATACATACAACACACGGGATGAGAATCTCGTCGGCATCATTAAAAACTCTTCAAAACGTTTATGTGTACAAGCACTTTTCTGTCAGACAAGAGCCGCCAGCGCGGGTGACCTTTTGAGAACTTCTTGATCAAGTGGAGATATTGTTCAGTCAAACATGGCTGACTCGACAGGCAAGTCTGGTGTTGTGGCTTCAACAACAAGGCTCGTCCTGCACCCCTCCCCATGATATGCCCGACAAAGCCGGCGTTGTGCTCGGTTGTAAGTCAACGCGGCTAAGCTCAGACGTGACGTGACCGGGGAATAGGGGTGCAGACAGAAGAGAAACAATCTTTATGTCTGTGCCACTTAACTTTTCCGGACGGACTTATTTGGCAAGGACCCTACTAGCCTGTTTTCTCTCGCCCAAGCATGTCATGGCGGCCTAGGCCTTGCTGTACAGGCTTGTGAGGCTTGTATGGTAATTTTCTACGCATAATGCTGTCGTAACAAGCCTGGTATCACGGCTATGGTACATGGAAAGAAGCGGAAGTTTATGACAGGCAAAGCCACACTTATTTCAATACGCCTGTCGTTGAAAGCTCAGACGTTGTCAGATCACATTGTTCGTGCATGTCGTTTATGAATATTTGCCATGCTTGTCATGATACCAAAACTATGTACATCATATCATACGCCACATGAGTCAGAGCCATTTCTTATCGAATTACTTCTCAGTGATAACGTTAAAGGAAAAGACAGTAATCAATACACAATGTATGACGCAACATTCAACTTTATTTCTCGCGCACCATTTAACTGATTCACGCGGATACGGATAGGGTGTGTCGGGTAGTGTCAAAGTTCGTTCGAGAAGATGCCCCCTGTCCACTTAAATCGATAATACATGATCTACCCCTCCCCTCATGCAATGGAAAAATACTTTGACCATGCCTTACTCAGTTGCATAGTACATGACTCTCCAGTGAGCAAACTTAAAACGCAATCTATCATGGTGTTTAACCCAGATATTTCATGATCGCGACTGATTTTGTGTGTTAATCGTGTTCGACTGCGTGCCCTGTACAACAAAAAAGTCAGTCCCGACACATGCCTTTCAAATGCAATAATGCGAAATACAGTCGACTTCGTACTCATGTATTTTGACCCACATACCAAAGCCGTGAGGTCTATCGATAAGCTCTCTTCACATGTAAACAGAAGTTATAAGCAAAAGCAGCAGGCAGAGCTAAATGAGAGCCAGCGATTCAGATTACAAGCGCCCGAGGGCTCGTCTTGATGTGTGCTGCTTGTACAATGTATAATTGTGTTAGCTTTGGCTCAAATCGTTAATACATCACACACATGTTAGAGTTAAAAGTGTCCGGGCGTTTACTCACCACCGTGTCTCCGGTCTGCTTTACGCTCACAACTTGCACGCCGCCGTCATCTTTCTTCTTGTTCTTTCCGCCCAGGCTGAAGGAGAGTCTGTTACCCATGTTGGTTGTTGTTGAATGGAGGTCACTTCGCCTTCCAGTCTTCTGCAAATACTGACAGTTCCCTGTTCCGTCGTCAGCGCGCGGTCGGGGTCGTGTTACGGACTCGTCAGTCGGTCGGTCGGTCTTTCTTCGCCCCTCGCAAGCCCGAGGCTAACCGGCTTTTTAGTCCGTTCTTTGCGGAGGCTTGGAAGAAAGAGTTAACGTACTAGCCCGTTATGTCACCAGTCGGTACCCAAGTATGTAAAATCTGTTCGCAAGAAAAGACAGCGTGGTGGAACTGGTCTGCCCCTCCCCGACACACACATGCGCACGCCGAGCCCAGAGGTTCTCTCTCGGCACAGGTGACGAAACGATGCGTCAGACCTCGTCACTGATTAAACCAAATTCATAAACCCGGGTTATCGCAGCTCGGGGCGCGTCCATTTCTAACCATAGAGGGTTGGTGAACTTTTATTGAAAATCTGTATTTAAGCCCTGTATGGCTGAAGTGGAGAAATGCATATCTTCCAAACCACGTTGGTTGTACTACAGTTCAACTGTTATCATAGTGGTTTGAGACAGAGTAAATGTTCCGCAATCCCTCGAGGCCAGGGTCAGTGACATTGAGCGGATAAAGGATTAGTCTATACTGTCTGTGCATAAAAACAAAAATCTTTATACATACGTGGAGAGTAAATCATGAACGACTAATATCAGTACCTATAGAAAAATGTCGTGGCGCAAGCTTTTTATTTTGTTCACCAAATTTCAGTCAAGCGTGTCGGGTTGGGAGGAGGCCCACGTTATTATGTCAGCTACATCATAAGTTCGCTCTCGGCAAAATCATTCAATTTGATACCAACAAAACGATAACGTTTCATATCGTGTTCTGCAAAAATGTGAGAGCGGTGTGAGTTGCATACGTGCGGACGGCGGAAGTTATTGTAAGCTCACATGTCGCCGATTCGTGGCGGGAACACAGAGATAGATTTCAGATTACGCCACGAGACAGACAGTAAGAAATTGATCACAGCTGGGTGCCAATCTTCTTGGTAAGCCACGCCCCTTTAGCGCATTTAGGCGGCTTTTAATAATCGCTAGTGCCAAGTTTCGCAGTTTGGACACAGTTGGCTCGACAAAACAAACAATTTGGGGTTTTAAGTAAACAAACCGTATCACTCCCATGCCTTGTAGTTGTACAGCAAACATTCAAGTCTTGTCTTATCGCATAATTTCGGCGTCCAATCCAAACAAGGGCAAAACGTTTAAAATCTCGAATTATTAAATCTAAATGTCATAAATATTGGACAACACAATATGACAATGTATGGTGAAAATTGATCATCAAGAGTAATAAAAATGTAACTCGTGAATGGTATTGTCCTTATTTTCGCAAGTAGCCTAACATCAACAATCTTTAAGTTAGCTTATGTCATAAAGACTATTTTTCACGAGATAAGAATTGCAAACATGGCACACGGCAGACTTTGATCATGATATGACTCAGAAGCTAGGGTCAAAATGTCTGTTGAATGCAAATACAATGCAATACAAAACATTGAGGGAAAAATGTTCACAATCGTAGCAACCATTTTGCTTGCAAGCTGTTTTGGAATATTTACAGATGTCATAATCCTAAATTAGATTAGGTCAATATAGTAGATGAGGCAATGCCAAGCCATCACTGTCACTTACACAATTAGCAAGCTAAAATAGCAGCCAGGAAGCCATCTGGCATTATGCCAAATTCCCTCATGACCATCCATAATCCCTTGTTCGTATTAATGCCAGACATTAAGGCATGAGTCATTGCTGGCTTACACTGAGGCACCATATGTTAAAGCATTGGATCCGGACACTGCACAATGTTAGATGTACTCAATAGAATGCACAAGAAGGGGTTGGTTTGTAGTCTAGGGACATGACTAATATATAAAAGCATGCAACCTAAGTATTCTGTAAATTCATTTATTTTTGCAGTAGAGGGCAAAATCAGATACATTTTTGCAGTGTTTTTTTTTAAGAATGCGATTAAAACAATTCTGTAGTACAGTAGCAATGCACGTCTATTCTCAATGTCATGATTTTGCAGTGGAGAGGTCAACACAAATAATAAAACCACTGCAACATTTTATTTAACTTTCAACTTTAACTTTATTTGTTTAACCAGGTATCACACTCAGGCCACTCTGGCCTGTTTTTCAGGAAATCCTGGTACAAAAGCACAGACAAACACCTAACAGTTAAACAGATTCACAATACATACAAAGTCTAAAAGTAGCACATAATTCAAATAACTAATCTTAAATACAATTCGATAAAAACTGTTTAAAAGTTCTGAGACTGAGCTGCTGTCGTTGTTGTAGGGGGAGTGAGTTCCAGAGGTAAGGTCCATAGTACTGTAAGCTGTTCCTGTATGAAGTGACTCTTGCTGGTGGACAGGAGAGTAGGTGGGGATCATAGTCCCGTAGCCGTTTTAACTCTGACCGAGTAGTGCGTACACTCAGTGTTGGTGGAGCTTCCCATTTGAACAACGATGTCATGTACACAGGCGCACATCCACGGACTGCCTTAAAGACAGAGACAAGAGAAGCTACTTCTGCCCGTTTACGCACAGGGTCTATCCCTGCCTCTGCTCGCAGATCTACAGTGTAAAAACATGTCTGTTAAGTACAGGTCAGGCACAGAAAAGAGTTACATGTATGCTCAGGGGAAAATGATAAGATAGATTGCATTGTGACATTTCCAGCTGTGTATTGTCAGTCACTCACAATTCCTGATCACTGGCAGTTGTCCCTGTCTTATGAATGGATCAAGCTAGATATACCCTTTTCACCCCTTTTCAAAAGTGGGACGTTCTTATTTTGAGCCAGGTATTATGCACTACAACGTCAGACAGGGCATGTAAAACAAGTACGGCGTGACCTTGGCATTTTCATTAACACCTTTTTTGCTGCAGTCTTATCATGCGTGAAGTTATTCTGTCAACAACAGGGACAAGGATGTTTATTGGGTTAAGATGTTTTCAAAACAACTGAAATCCGATCTTGGACATGGGCGGCTGACCTTGGTATCAATGTACACAAACAACAGGATTTAGAAGACATTGAAGACAAAGCAAAAATGTAGAGAATGGCAAGAGTTCAGTCATTGGCCACTCTACTGGAAAAAATTCTACAGCATCAGCTATGCAAAATAAGAAATATAGCTACAAGCATAACTACTAGTACAAAAAATTAATGTTGTGCAAAGTCTATAATGCAGTTCAGACACACCTATCTTGAAAAATTCAAACAAATAAATCATTTCTGCATTAGCAGCATTATTCATTGCAATTTTGATATCTTATGTTTTGTAAGAAGTATCTAGTTTTTGTCAAAAATGGTTCTGTTGACAGTCAGTATCATGTTAGCTGTCTCAACAGCTACAACAAAGGCATTCAACTTCACAGGAAATGAGTCCAACACAACATTTGGCCCAGACTCAACCAATTTCTGTGTTGCCTGGTCCATGTAATCTGTTAAACTTGCACTGCAATTGCTTTTGTCATCACAATGTTTTCCATGACCTTTTGAACCAGAGGAGGGCTGGGATTGGTCACTGAGGTGACCAATAGGTGAGCAGCTGACTGAGTCAATTTTGTCTGTTTTTACCATCCCGCATGCACATGTTTCCACACCTGTCTCAGCAGGGACCGTGGTGGAGGCCCAGGGTGGGAGGAGCCAGTGGTGATGATTGACAGGGTCTGACACATGACATCCCCCATCATGCTCCAGTGCCATGGCCACTTGTTCTAGACAGCGTGCAAAGTTGTTGGCAGTGGTGTGTAGTTGAGCTTTGGAGCAGCCGAGCTTAGCAAGGAGCGTCTCCTCTTGCATTGTGACCTAGAATGCACAAAGAACAATGTGCATGATTGTGTATTGCCTCTATACATCTGTTTGACATTTTGTCTAGAAATCAGTCATCACTTAACAGCTGGTAATTTACATGTATGTCCAAGAACTGTATGCTCTTAAACCTCAGCAATGTGTCCATTGCCAATGTTCTCATTTTCTGAAATATGGCAAATTCTGACAGCTGAAAGGGTTTACATTTTAGTGATGGGAAATTAGGCCTTTGGTCCCAGTCCAATGTTGAGGTAAATAATTTTTGAGCAGGTTAAAGAATCCTTCACTTAGGCATCTGCCTTGTTGTGCTCTGGCTAAATTCTTTAGGACAGAGCAAGCATATGCCTTCTCTCCTGTCACTTGGTGTTGCTCATGTTACATACACAGGTGTATACCACCTGTACACCACACGTGACAATCAATATATACATCACTTGTATTGTAAAATTAGTCTGTCTTCTACACTAGTGCATGAGATTCCATGTATAAACCAAGGAGGATAACCTGAACTACCAGTAACTTAACGTTGAATTAGAGTGGGCTGGCTATGGTAAATTATGATAGCTTGCTGTGCCTCATGGAAAAAGGCATGCAGGCCCTTCTTCATCAATGGTTTAAGAAGTAAGAGTAAGCAGTTTAGCATGGCTCCCAGCCGGTGTAGGTGGCTGATTGCAGACATACACATGACACCATGAAAGCACACAATTTGGCTGAAGGATTAAATTGTCTTTTCAGATTCAGTCTGACGTGTTCCAGACCTACCAGGGAGGGATTAATTACCTAATTCGAAAGTAAAAGGATTTAGGGTTTAGAATTACATCTAATTCCTTTTTCCATTTACAAGAGATAACAGGCAATCAAAACATTCGGGACAACAGCAACAGGTGTCAAACTATCTGACCTGAGCTCTGAGGTGTGCTGCCAGGTGTGTTTCTGTACAGCCTCCTCCACACAGGACTAGTGGGGTCCTCAGCGCCTGGCACAGGACATGGTGGGCTGTACGACAAACATCCTGGAACAACCAAGATAACATCTGTATCTGCATGTGTCAGAGAGGTGGCTCATAACAATGTGTCTAAATTCATGGCAAGAGGATAGATGTACAAAATGTATATGTGTATATCTGAAATCAAATGGTGAATATACATATAGCTCAGCTGTTTTCAGTTACATGTATCTATTTTATATATGGGAATTTATTAAATTCTTTCAATAATTGTCATATATTCCTTCTGAACATATGGATATCTAGAATTCAGAACCACTGTGAGTCAATTTCAGTTTGAGATGAAATTTTGCTGAGGCGGAAAGAACAGGCATTTGAGGTATTTAACTGTAGTAGACAGAGAACATTGCATGCTGACAAAAAATCCGTGTAATCCTTCATACTGTGATGATTTCACTGTGGTGGGGTCATTGCAAAAACATGAAACTGCTGAGAAAATTTCAATATTTATAAGAACTCACCTTCATTTCTAGCAGGGCTGCCTCGTTCCTGTTACACAGCAGCAGTGTGTTAACAGGACTGGTGGAAGACTGGAGGTGGAGGTAGTTCTTATGTTGGATCTGGACTGTGCTTATACTGTGTAGGTGGCCAATGTTGTCTTCATTGATGGCAGCATGTAATGTGCCAATCGCTGTTGCACCTATGGAAAGAGACAAGAACATGTCACTACCACTAAGTTAAGATATCCTCTAGTTCAGCTTATTCACTGGCATTTATGTATTGTAAATGGCAATAACATCACCTTGTCCAGCAAGCTTTGCCTGTATAGAGCCTCACATTTTCAAAAGCATGTTGAAAGTTAAGATAACCTTCACAATTCTTCTTTTACCATTTTCCATGCTTTCATCTTCAAGCATAAGAGATTGGCACAACAAAATCTACACCTTGTATGATAGATATAACTTTATTGGTCATTAATTGTCAAGATACAGTACATAACATAACCTTCATGTATGGCACCTCCTACAAAGGCTACCAGTATGTACAGTAGAATGGAATGAGAACATACTGTTACCGTTACCTGTTAGCCTCTGTACTGCTACAACATGCAGACTGCCCAGTCTGTCCACAGTCAGGACTCCATTCTCAGCAAGGTACTTCTGCACACCTGGATGGACCACCTTCTGACATGCCAAGACTCCCACCTGCAGCTGCACCAGGTGTGCTGCCACTTGTATCAGGTGTTGGAATACAAAGGCATCCCCAGACACACCAGCATCTGCCTCATATGCAGTGTCTATAAACTCATCGCTATCCCCTGACAGAGATGTGTTGAACAGGGCAACTTTGATGGTTTCTGTGCCTCCATGAAAATGTACCTTTCTAGGTTTAACCCTACCTAAGTATTGTTTAGTGATTTTGGGGGTCTCAAACAAAACCCCATCCACCAGATGGGAATCATTAATGGAGCATCCCTCTATACACACATACTCAACGTCAGTCAGACTTAACGTCCCTACAGTTGTGTCTGGTATGGACTTGAGAAAACCCTGCAGAACTAATCTACTTAAAATATTCAAATCAACTGAGTTCAACATAAGAGCAGGCTTGGACCCAAGTACACTCCTGACTAAAGCTAGCATCATTGTTGCATCACCAACATTCAGTCTAGCTTTACACAGACAATTCTCGTTCTGCAAATATTCCAAACAGATATGCAACATTTCTTCGTTTATTTTTGCGACAGCTTGTTGCGGGATTGGTAGCGCCAGACACGATTCTATGAGACAGGAACACAGAAGGGAAGCGAACAGTCCGCCATCGCTAAACTGATTGGTATGAGACTGCACGGCGGATACAATCAACTTCACCACCGGGTTACTGACAGACATGGAGCGAAACAAAGTCTGAGACATGGAAGTCGAGGTGACATGTCCGCCGCTCGCATTGTGGATCATTTTCAGTCTCCCTGTTGGACCATAGCAGGATTGGACTAAGGCTCTGAATGTAGAAACTGCCTGTGTATTCTTTGGGTCTTTCAGGGACTGGTTAATAACAGTTGATTGCTGCTTTGGAGAAGGAATCACTCCAGACATCTGAGAAATAAAAAGAGGGACATACAAAATTAGAATCAAAGCTAGCTGTTCTAGATAAAGCTGGGTTTATGGATTTCATTTCCTATAAAGGTTTATTCTGCTTGACACAATATAGACAAAGTAATACACACCAAGTAACATGAGCATAAATCATAAGCTTTTAAAAATACTGGTAGTGCTACATCTACAGTCAAATGATGTGAACTTCCAGGTTCAGTATGCTTACAAAAGGTGTAGGAAACGTTGCTGTGATTCCAGAGAAACTCTAAGTAACAAAATGATTTATCTACAAAAGTAGAATTACCACTGTATTGGTGTCAACATCATTTGTCAACTGTGATGTCTAAATTATGCCCAGTATTGTTTATTAAGTTGGAAGTTGTAAAAAGCTGTTTAAACACATCTTTCATCTCATTGACTGTGTTTGTCCCTTACCTTTTGGCACATACATGTACATACATGTACTATACTGTACTACTTCTGATCTTTCTTCATCTGATCGAAGTCTGGCATAGGTGGCATGACGAGAGCTGGAGGCGGCACAGAGGGCAGGAATGGACCTTCCTGCTGCTGACTCTCTGTAGATTCCAGTATTCCACTCTTCTGTAGCTCGTTCCACCCCCAGTGCAGCCCGATGATAGTAGGAACCATCACTAGCACTACTCTGTACCTGGTCCACAGGTCCTTCACTCGACTCATCGTGGATCTGAAGAAAATTAAAGTTGGGAGAAAAAATTTGTGTACATCAGTTGACCTCCAAAAAATTAATCATTGAAACGTCAATAAACGTGCCTCTATATGATGTAAAGGTCAATGATGTAGAACCTTTCTTCTTGCTTATCACACTCTAAGGAGAGCACACAGACATGTTTAGTCCTTGACTTAAAAAAATTATGTAACGTTACACAATAAATTTTGGCAACGCCCCCCTCCCCACACGTACGTGCACACACCACGTATTAAAACGCGAGGAAATTACGAAATTCTCACCTAATATCTGGTTCTTCCTCCTGTACTAACTGTAACGCTGCATCCTACACCGGTAATGAAAGTGTCGTCTATCCCAAAACTTATAATCTACTGACTGGATATGAACCAAATTCACGAGTTGCACATTCCCAGGATCCTTTGCGCCCAGGGTAGGTCACGTGGGCGTCAGGGTAGGGAAAGGTCGCGGTAAACCACGTGACTCATCCTCGGCTCTGGTCGGAAGAAGTCGGAAGTGTTCGCGAGCGCTCGGAAATTTCAAAAATGGCTGACACCACTGCCGGCGGCGGGAGGTACGTAGTTTTTCACGGCGTTCGTACGGCAAAACGGCATCGAATTTTTGCTCCATGACTATCGGTATGGGATAGGATAGGGTTGATTCAACACACTACGTGAAAATGTGAATGCTCCCAGCCTACTATCGGCCAGATATCGCTTAGGGCACCTTCTTCCGACCAGAGCCGAGGATGAGTCACGTGGTTTACCGAGACCTTTCCCTACCCTGACGCCCATGTGACCTACCCTGGGCGCAAAGGATCCTGGGAATGTGCAACTCGTGAATAAAAGTGAAAAGTGTTACGACACGTTTGACCCTTTGACCTCAAATGACCTCGAATCTCGTGCCCAGGTCATGACTTATTCTTCTCAGGAATAACTTCCAATTATTAATAACTAGTAGCATAAAACTAGACAATTATTTGATTTTGAGAGGATTTGTTACAATTTTGCGTCTAAATTTTCATGGACATTAAGAAAATCACAGAAGACGATGAGGACGAGAGCCGTTGAGTTAGTGAAGAATGATGGGAAGGGTCAGCGATTGGCGGGAAAAACTGCTGCTCAAAAGTCATCATCGATTTGTTATTGCACATCGGCTGAATTCTTACATACAACTTATGCTGACGTGTTTATCATATGCATCCTCTCTGCTACAGTAACGTGTATCTTTTGAATTGGACGACAAATGTTTTGACTGACGCTAGGCGTATCCTGATCCTGTTTTCGAGAATGTTGCCTGAGGGGAAAGAGGGAGGGCGGCTGACGTCTAGATCCTGATAAATGTTGTGTGTAGACCATTTGTTGTTATTCCGGTTTTCAGCATGGAGCGTTCCCTTCACTTCATCAGGGTAGGTTGGAATATCTTGTAGCAGTGTGGTCGAGTTTAATGTGTATCTAACTTTTAAAGGCACAATACTTCTGTAAGACTAATGCACTAATACATACCCATCTGAATCTTGCACTACAAAAATAATGATGCGAGCCATATAACGTTAATATACATATACAGTTAGCTGTGTTTACAGAAAATTTGGACTAGGCAAAATGCTGTCTGCTGTGGCAGGTAGCAACAGTAACTCATTTGAGTCCAGAGAATTTCCTAAGTGGAGTCTGCATGGGGGGTAACTTAGTGTAGTAATTTCCACTCATAATATTAAACATGTCAGGATAAATTATACAGAAACTTCCCAAACACATGTGCGCGTGCATAACCACTTACTGTTTAATTTTCATGTCAAACCTGAAATGCCTGGTATACATCTTCCAGATAGAATGCATTCAGACTTCCATTGCAGAATAGCAAAAGCAACTATCAATTTGACATGCATAATCCTTTATTTTATTGTTTTACCTGTTGATCCAGGTGGGAAAATCCCTGTGCCTTAAGATGGAGCTGCGTGTGTTACCTGTGCAGGAACAGACAACCTGGTTCACTTGTGAACACCAACATGTAACATATATTCCTCCCTTCTGTTTTACCTGTGTTTATATACCTGTTTATATACTCCTATTTAGTTACACAGTAATGCATGTAGTCCAGTGGTTAGCGACCCATGCAATTACAAGTTTTGAATAGGCATATGACTATATCACTATATTACAATGTGTTGACATGTAGGAGGTGGTGACCTTATTGAAGGGAGTTATTGACGCCAAACTTGAGGCTCTGAGAGTCCGAGGGAAGGCACTGGACAAAGTGACTGCACAGCAGGATCCTGACATCATCACAGGTTAGCAGACTTTCTGATAAAGGCCGTAAAAAAAAAGGAAAAAAAAAGTTACTGTATCCCGACCGACCCTAGAAAAGACTGTTGACCTTTAAGTAGCCTTTTTTTCTAGAAACCTGCAAGTGACATAATTTTTCAAGCTGGTAGACCTTTTCTTTTAGGCTCGCCGCACAATGTGCAAGAGGACTGAGTGAGTAAGTGATAGACCTTTTCAGTGGTCTCTAGTGGTCACTCAAGGGACTGAACAAAATTTGACCACTATATATGGATAGGTCACTGGTGACCACTATAGAGCAAAGGGTCCATATTTGATCACAACTCACTGTCATAAGCAATAAATGATGCAGGCTTTCAAGTTCCCAATGAGATACATGTATATTTATTCACTGGTATCTGTTACATTTTTAAATTAACGTTTACAGCTTAATAATCTTACTGTTGTTATGTACATTAAAAAAATTGCACTAACATTGACACAATGTATACTAGTACGTGCAGTTTTCAATCTTAGGCCACACCAAGTAAATTTTATGGATGACGTCCGCGCGCGCATTGATTTTGGCCTCTTCCTAGAAAAAAAAACAAGAAATTTTGCTTCCTGTAACTATGACCAAAGTCACGGCAGTGTCGCAAATTGTCAGATCGACGTGAAACCCGTAACGCGAGGTGTCGGAACAGAACAGAAAATTTTTCACTGTCCACTGTTCCACCTGATTTATTGCTGTTTTGATGATGAATAAAAGACTTCTTGCTTGTTACACTGTGTCACCTCATTCAATTTGTGTCCTAACATTTGTCGTCTCTTAGTACATTTCTAATCTAGGCATCTTGTTTTTTAGGGCCCTTCTTGTTTTTTTTTCGCCCTCTCGCATTAGATTTAGGGTCTCCAAAGGACGTCATCCATAAAATTTACTTGGTGTGGCCTTACGGACTCTCATTCTGTACTCATACTGGCACACAGTAGTTGGTTGCTTGCCTTCCACCAGGCTTGAAAGGCACACAAGTGGAGAAACATTAAACAGGAACTTCAAACAGATAACATCAAGTCATATACTCTAAATCTTCCAACAGGCCGACACAACAGTGTTTGTTTATGCATGAACAACAAATTATTTTCCATAATCCCATCACAGTCTTGCAGACTGCTGCTCGCTTCAAATTTTCCATTTGTAACTTAGCAACTAAGGAAGTCACTGTCATTCCTGAGGAGTGGAGGTACAACTAGAGCTATGATGTTAAAAAGTTACAGTTATTGAGTTAATTAAAAAAAACAAAGTTTGTATACAGACAACAAGCTAGAGCTATTTATACCCGGGAATGGCTACATACAATAACATATGATGTACAACCATAAACAGATGAGTCATACTGAATATTGGAAATATAAATGATACAACAGTTCCTACATTGTGGATTGTGTGATGTTTAGGCTTTGACATTGTTCTTAATCTGAATTAAGCTTACTAAATCATCACCATGTTTTTCCACCTCAGGTGCCACCTTAAGAGTGGCTTACTGCTTTAAGAAGAATGAACTGAGTCACACTTTCCTTGTGGACACCAGTCATCTTGACAACACTTCTACTGATATCAGCAGTGATGAAGAGCAGACACCTTCCATTGGTATGTTTATTGTCAAGTGACACCTGTCAGGGTGTCTTTCTTTTCTTACAACTGTTAATCTTTGACCTAGATTATCCTTTGGAATATAGCTATGGGATGTACATCTTTATCACAGTTGTACTAGAAATTATACAGTGCAGGGTTAATAAATGTGGAGCCTAAAGACATTCTGATAGTAAAGTTGTTTGCAAGTAATCTTTTGCAATCTCATAATATAACCTTTTCTGTAAAATTTAGAAAATGGTTATTTTGAGCCCATCAATGTCTCCTGTATAATCTGGTGGACTTGAAAACAGACTGATACATTATCTAAAATGTTGTTCAACTTCTACGTTACATGTGTGGTTAGTTGAGAATGTTCTTTTGTTGTGTGGTTGGTCGAGAATGTTTCATTCTCATTAAAGTAAGTCTGTTCAAGGAGCTTAAACCTCCTTGTGTTTTGGTTTGTGCGTGAAAATTGTTGACAATTTTCCACTGTGTTCCTTCAGGAGGAAGCTACCGCAGCTTCAAACTGGAGAATGTCCGTCTGGTGGCCTGTGTGTGTCAGTACAGCAGTGAGTACCCACAGACACTTCCAAACGAGAAGGTAAGAAATTAACAGTTCCTAGCTTTATCAGTGTTTTTACATGGCTTAGGATGTATGGTGAAGTAATATGTATAATTGTATCTTCCCACAAAAATTGTGTAAGAAAACATTTAGAAACTTGTAAGAAAGTAGAACTTACATAGTGTTGTCTCAAAATTGTTCTGCACTACTATATCAGTTATGATGTTTTGTATCTGGGTTTAACTTTACGGTCTAAGGCCACACTGATTTAATATTATGGATGACATCCTCTGAAGACCCCCAAACTAGTGTGCGCGGGCGAATAAAAAAAAATTCCGGCCAAAAATAAAAATGCTACTAAACCACAGGAATACAAAGATCGTATTGTGAATTTGAGGCAGTACATAGGGACGTATACGACAAGCCGGCACATGTTGGCTTTTTGCGGAATGTACTGAGTTCTTGAGTCGTGGAGCTTCGCGTTAGTAGCCTGGGTGCCCATCCCTCTAAAGTTACCGCCACCGTATTGTCGCTAACTACCATGGACTACGCAAGCCTAGAGCCAGGCCAGAGCCTTGGNGGACGTGATCTTTTTTTTTTTTTTTGGTAG